CTGTACTTACATATCTATGCATGAGAATAAATTTCCTGGAGGCAAGGATGGTTTTACCCAACAGTAAATAAATACTTATGAAAAGGTATACATAAAGGTTGAGCAGCCCTAATCCAGAAATCTGATATGCTCCAACAATGGAAATTTTTGGAGTACTGAAGCCCCCAGGCTGATCTCAAACTCGCAGAACTCCTGCTGGCTCATGCTCCTGAGTGCTGAGATTACAGGCATGTGCCATCACACCTAGATCCAGGGCACACACTTGGTACCAGGCATCTGGGCCCACATGGTAGGCACCCAGGTATCCAGGGCCAAGACAGTGCATCCAGGGATGAAACTGCATAGCATGTGGGGCCAGGGATCGAACTTGGGTCCTTGTGTTTACCAGGTAGGTGCTCATGGCTCTGAGCTATCTCTCCAGCCAAGATAACTTTGAAAGGAGTGCATATTCAGTTTCTTGAAAAGATGTGTGGTAATTATTACATTATTACTCATGCAATTTGAATAATTACTGGTACTGTCCTATGAAGTTCAGCAATGATCTTTTTTTATCTTTAATGTTTTTGAAATCATGATTATTATATGATCTGAAGAGAAACCAGAGTATAAAATCATGATTATTATAAAATACAGTCATTTCACACCTGCCCCATGTGAAATACAAATAAAAGCAAAGCTGTAAGGTTAGATATACTGAATAGAGTACAAAAAGAAATACGGCAAATGTAAGTAAAAGCGTGGAAATTCAGAAGAGGAAAGTAACTCACAAGAGACTTCAAAGCAGAGCTTACTTGTTACCATAAACAATACAGTCTGAATAATACGCAGAGCATTATGATGCTATAAACCCAGAACTTGAGCTACCAAGGCAAACAGTCCACAAAGAGCACTACTTCAGCCTATAAGGGCTGAGGCAGTGGTTGTGCTTACTGGTTAAAAGAAAAGAAGTTATTCAGCCAAGCTAGATACACTAAGTCCTAGAGCTAGACAGACACAGATCGTCACCTTGTATGTTTCTTCAGTGAGGTAACATGGACACTGTCAGACAAAAATAGCAACCGTTAAGAGACTGATTTACAACTTAAGTTTAAAACCTCACAATAAAATTAGATAAAAGCTATTCAGGATGGATGGATGGATGGATTGACTGACTGATTTTTGGTGTTTTTGAGGCAGGGTCTCGCTATGCAGTTCAGGCTGGCCTTGAGCTCACTTTGTAGCCCAGGCTGGTCTTGACTCACAACGATCCTCCTGCCTCAGCCTCCCAAGTACTTGGATTACAGGAGTGCACCAAGGATTTTTTTTTTAATTCACTGTTGGAACAAAGAAATTTACCTTCAACCTGAGCAAAAATTTCCTCTATTAAAAGAGAATGAGAAAGGTATTCCCATACAAGGACATTATCTAGATAAGCTATGCTAATAATTAAAGAAAACAATTTTTCTGGGGTTCACTGAATTGCTTATTAGGGAGAAGACAGGTTGTAAATGGCAATAGTTGTTAGCACAACTTCAGGCAAGTCTGATATTCAGAAATTATACTAAGAATTTCTAAAAACATTCAAGTTGGTATATTATAATTTTCAGTCAATAGAACAATAAAAATATGTAACTGCATTAAGAAAGAAACTAAGAAAAAGGGAATAAAAATGTTTAATGACAAATTCAAGTACAGATAGATGATAATATAGTATTCACTTTGGAGTTACTAAACATTTGTCCATATACAAAATAAGATTTTCAATATAAGTTACTGACACTAGAATCAATGTGTAAGCCTTTCTGCAATATAACAGATACAACTGGCTTAGCTTACCTGCCCTTGTTCTCTTTTCCTTTCATTTTACTTTCTTGACCTTTGCCTCCAGTAGGATCCCACTCTACACAGGTATCTTCAACTTTCAGGTTCAAATGGGATGATGAGTTATCCAAACTGAAGTTAAGTGCTGTTCAAGATAATATTTTGCCAAATGTAACAAACATATCTCCACTTTCAGAACTATATACACTATATCCTTTTCCTATTCCATTGATCCAACATTGTATACAGTACAAGTAATAAAGTTTAAACTCTTGATCTTCAAAAAGGGTGAAAAAAACCCTGGCTTTCCACATATCAAACACTAAAACTAGATCCATCTCTATCACCATGCGCTAAAGTCAAAATGGATCAAAGATGTAAATATTAAAATAGAAACACTAAATCTACTTGTAGAGAAAGTAGGTAAAAATCTTGAAGACGGGTGAGCAGGGAGTTCATGAACAAAAACTAAACTACATGGGAAATACTTCAAAGAATCAACAATTGGGATCTCATCTTATTGAAGTTTTTACAAATCAAAAGAAATCACCAACAGAGTGAAAAGAAAACCCATGAACTGGGAAAAATCATAGCTGTCTCTCAGGTGGAGAATTTCTATGTAGAACATATAAACTGAAAAATATCAGACCTCCAAATTTTAAAGACCCAATCAAAAAATGGGCATCTGAGATGAATACACACGTCTCAGATGAAGAAATACAAAGACCAAATAAACTTAAGAAAAAATGTTCAACATCATTGGTCATTTGAGAAATGCAAAGTAAAACAACACTGACAAGCTATTTCACCCCAGAAAGAATGGCTATCATCAAGAAATCAACGAATAACAAACGCTGATGGGCTTGGGGGGAAAAGGAACCCTTCTCCACTGTTGGTGGAACTGTACCTGGTACCACCATCATGGAAATCAGTTTGGAGACTCCCAAAAACACTAGGATTTGTGGTCCCATTCAACCCAGGTATTCCCCTTTTGGGTATTTTTCCATTAGAATTAAAAACATCACACCACAGACACATGTTTATAGAAGCACAACTTGTCATAGCTAAATTTTGGAAATAACTCAAATGTTCATCAACTGAAGATGTGGTATTTTTATTTAATGGAGTATTACTCAGCCCTAAAGAAAAAATTAAGGCTTTTATAGGTAAATGGATTCAATTGGAGACTACACTCACAATTGAAATAACTCAGACCCACATGTATAAACATCTCGGTGTAAGAAATTGAAAAACATCTAAAATCTATAATAGATATCGTGAAAGGGAAAGTTACTGTTAAAGAACAACTGAGATGGATGAAAGGAGCAAAGAGAAAAGAAAAACAATATA